TGTCACTCATGCAGACTTCTCCCCTTCCTGTCACTCATACAGACTCCTCCCCCGCCTGCCACTCATACAGACTCCTCCCCGCCTGTCACTCATACAGACTCCTCTCCCACCTGTCACTCATGCAGACTTCTCCCCTTCCTGTCACTCATAAAGACTCCTCCCCTGCCTGCCACTCATACAGACTCCTCCCCGCCTGCCACTCATACAGACTCCTCCCCGCCTGTCACTCATACAGACTCCTCTCCTGCCTGTCACTCATACAGACTCCTCTCCCGCCTGTCACTCATACAGACTCCTCCCCCGCCTGTCACTCATACAGACTCCTCTCCTGCCTGTCATAGACTCCTCCCCCGCCTGTCACTCATATAGACTCCTCCCCCGCCTGTCACTCATACAGACTCCTCTCCCGCCTGTCACTCATACAGACTCCTCAACCGCCTGTCACTCATACAGACTCCTCCCCCAGCCTGTCACTCATACAGACTCCTCTCCTGCCTGTCACTCATACAGACTCCTCTCCCGCCTGTCACTCATACATGCTCCACCCCCCCGCCTGTCACTCATACAGACTCCTCTCCCGCCTGTCACTCATACATGCTCCACCCCCCGACTGTCACTCATACAGACTCCTCTCCTGCCTGTCACTCATACAGACTCCTCCCCCGCCTGTCACTCACACAGACTCCTCTCCCGCCTGTCACTCATACAGACTCCTCCCCGCCTGTCACTCATACAGACTCCTCCCCCACCTGTCACTCATACAGACTCCTCTCCTGCCTGTCATAGACTCCTCTCCCCCCTGTCACTCATACAGGCTCCCCACGACTGTCACTCATAGACTCCTCCCCACCTGTCACTCACAGACTCCTCTCCTGCCTGTCACTCATACAGACTCCTCTCCCGCCTGTCACTCATACAGACTCCTCCCCCCCGCCTGTCACTCATACAGACTCCTCTCCCGCCTGTCACTCATACATGCTCCACCCCCCGCCTGTCACTCATACAGACTCCTCTCCCGCCTGTCACTCATACATGCTCCACCCCCCGACTGTCACTCATACAGACTCCTCTCCTGCCTGTCACTCATACAGACTCCTCCCCCGCCTGTCACTCACACAGACTCCTCTCCCGCCTGTCACTCATACAGACTCCTCCCCGCCTGTCACTCATACAGACTCCTCCCCCACCTGTCACTCATACAGACTCCTCTCCTGCCTGTCATAGACTCCTCTCCCCCCTGTCACTCATACAGGCTCCCCACGACTGTCACTCATAGACTCCTCCCCCACCTGTCACTCACAGACTCCTCTCCTGCCTGTCACTCATACAGACTCCTCTCCCGCCTGTCACTCATACAGACTCCTCCCCCCCGCCTGTCACTCATACAGACTCCTCTCCCGCCTGTCACTCATACAGACTCCTCCCCCCCGCCTGTCACTCATACAGACTCCTCTCCCGCCTGTCACTCATACATGCTCCACCCCCCCGCCTGTCACTCATACAGACTCCTCTCCTGCCTGTCACTCATACAGACTCCTCCCCCGCCTGTCAATCATACAGACTCCTCCCCGCCTGTCACTCATACAGACTCCCCACGACTGTCACTCATACAGACTCCTCTCCCGCCTGTCATTCATACAGACTCCGCCCCTGCCTGTCATTCATATAGATTCCTCCCCCGCCTGTCACTCATACATGCTCCACCCCCCCCCTGTCACTCATACAGACTCCTCTCCCACCTGTCACTCATACAGTCTCCACCCCCCCCCGTCACTCATACAGACTCCTCTCCCGCCTGTCACTCATACATGCTCCACCCCCCCCCTGTCACTCATACAGACTCCTCTCCCGCCTGTCACTCATACATGCTCCACCCCCCGCCTGTCACTCATGCAGGCTCCACCCCCCGCCTGTCACTCATACAGACTCCTCCCCCGCCTGTCACTCATACAGACTCCTCTCCCGCCTGTCACTCATACAGACTCCTCTCCCGCCTGTCACTCATGCAGACTCCTCCCCTTCCTGTCAGTCATACAGACTCCTCCCCCGCCTGCCACTCATACAGACTCCTCCCCGCCTGTCACTCATACAGACTCCTCTACCGCCTGTCACTCGTAGACTCCTCCCCCAGCCTGTCACTCATACAGACTCCTCCCCCGCTTGTCACTCATACAGACTCCTCTCCCGCCTGTCATAGACTCCTCCCCCGCCTGTCACTCATACAGACTCCTCCCCCGCCTGTCACTCATACAGACTCCTCCCCCGCCTGTCACTCATACAGACTCCTCTCCCGCCTGTCATAGACTCTCTCCCCCCTGTCACTCATACAGGCTCCACCCCCCACCTGTCACTCATACAGACTCCTCTCCCGCCTATCACACATACAGACTCCTCTCCTGCCTGTCATAGACTCCTCCCCCGCCTGTCACTCATACAGACTCCTCTCCTGCCTGTCACTCATACAGACTCCTCTCCCGCCTGTCACTCATACAGACTCCTCAACCGCCTGTCACTCATACAGACTCCTCCCCCGCCTGTCACTCATGCAGACTCCTCTCCTGCCTGTCATAGACTCCTCTCCCCCCTGTCACTCATACAGGCTCCACCCCCCACCTGTCACTCATACAGACTCCTCTCCCGCCTGTCACTCATACAGACTCCTCCCCCGCCTGTCACTCATAGACTCCTCTCCTGCCTGTCACTCATACAGACTCCTCCTCCGCCTGTCACTCATACAGACTCCACCCCCGCCTGCCACTCACACAGACTCCTCTCCCGCCTGTCACTCATACAGACTCCTCTCCCGCCTGTCACTCATACAGACTCCTCCCCCACCTGTCACTCACAGACTCCTCTCCTGCCTGTCACTCATACAGACTCCTCCCCCGCCTGTCACTCATACAGGCTCCACCACCCCGCCTGTCACTCATACAGACTCCTCTCCCGCCTGTCATAGAATCCTCTCCCCCCTGTCACTCATACAGGCTCCACCCCACCTGTCACTCATACAGACTGCTCTCCCACCTGTCATTCATACAGACTCCTCCCCTGCCTGTCACTCATAAAGACTCCTCCCTCTCCTGTCACTCATACAGACTCCTCTCCCGCCTGTCACTCATACAGACTCCTCCCCTGCCTGTCAATCATACAGACTCCCCACGACTGTCACTCATACAGACTCCTCCCCCGCCTCTCACCCACAGACACCTCCCCCGCCTGTCACTCGTACAGGCTCCACCCCCCGCCTGTCACTCATACAGACTCCTCTCCTGCCTGTCACTAATACAGGCTCCACCCCCCGCCTGTCACTCATACAGACTCATCTCCTGCCTGTCACTCATACAGACTCCTCCCCCACCTGTCACTCATACAGACTCCTCTCCCGCCTGTCACTCATACAGACTCCTCGCCCGCCTGTCACTCATGCAGACTCATCTCCTGCCTGTCACTCATACAGACTCCTCTCCCGCCTGTCAGTCATACATGCTCCTCCCCCCCGCCTGTCACTCATACAGACTCCTCTCCCGCCTGTCACTCATACATGCTCCACCCCCCGCCTGTCACTCATACAGACTCCTCTCCCGCCTGTCACTCATACATGCTCCACCCCCCCGACTGTCACTCATACAGACTCCTCCCCTGCCTGTCAATCATACAGACTCCTCCCCCGCCTGTCACTCATACAGACTCCCCACGACTGTCACTCATACAGACTCCTCTCCCGCCTGTCATTCATACAGACTCCGCCCCTGTCTGTCATTCATATAGATTCCTCCCCCGCCTGTCACTCATACAGTCTCCACCCCCCCCCTGTCACTCATACAGACGCCTCTCCCGCCTGTCACTCATACATGCTCCACCCCCCCCCCTGTCACTCATACAGACTCCTCTCCCGCCTGTCACTCATACATGCTCCACCCCCCCGCCTGTCACTCATGCAGGCTCCACCCCCCCGCCTGTCACTCATACAGACTCCTCCCCCGCCTGTCACTCATACAGACTCCTCTCCCGCCTGTCACTCATACAGACTCCTCTCCCGCCTGTCACTCATGCAGACTCCTCCCCTTCCTGTCAGTCATACAGACTCCTCCCCCGCCTGCCACTCATACAGACTCCTCCCCGCCTGCCACTCATACAGACTCCTCCCCGCCTGTCACTCATACAGACTCCTCTACCGCCTGTCACTCGTAGAGTCCTCCCCCAGCCTGTCATAGACTCTCTCCCCCCTGTCACTCATACAGGCTCCACCCCCCACCTGTCACTCATACAGACTCCTCTCCCGCCTGTCACTCATACAGACTCCTCCCCTGCCTGTCACTCATAGACTCCTCTCCTGCCTGTCACTCATACAGACTCCTCCTCCGCCTGTCACTCATACAGACTCCTCCCCACCTGTCACTCACACAGACTCCTCTCCCGCCTGTCACTCATACAGACTCCTCCCCCACCTGTCACTCATACAGACTCCTCTCCCGCCTGTCACTCATGCAGACTCCTCCCCTTCCTGTCAGTCATACAGACTCCTCCCCCGCCTGTCACTCATACAGACTCCTCTCCCGCCTGTCACTCATACAGACTCCTCTCCTGCCTGTCATAGACTCCTCTCCCCCCTGTCACTCATACAGGCTCCACCCCAGACCTGTCACTCATACAGACTCCTCTCCCCCCTGTCACTCATACAGGCTCCCCACGACTGTCACTCATAGACTCCTCCCCCACCTGTCACTCACAGACTCCTCTCCTGCCTGTCACTCATACAGACTCCTCCCCCGCCTGTTTTTCAACCTCAAACTCCGTCCCGTATGAGTCACGTGCAACAACAACAAGTGAAGCGGCGACACAGATCACAGTGCAGCCCCGACCCACAGCGCCCCGACACACACACACACACACACAGTGCAGCCCCGACCCACAGCGCCCCGACACACACACACACACAGTGCAGCCCCGACCCACAGCGCCCCGACACACACACACACACAGTGCAGCCCCGGCCCACAGCGCCCCCTGACACACACACACACACAGTGCAGCCCCGGCCCACAGCGCCCCGACACACACACACACACACACACAGTGCAGCCCCGACCCACAGCGCCCCGACACACACACACAGTGCAGCCCCGACCCACAGCGCCCCGACACACACACACACACAGTGCAGCCCCGACCCACAGCGCCCCGACACACACACACACACAGTGCAGCCCCGGCCCACAGCGCCCCGACACACACCACACACACACACAGTGCAGCCCCGACCCACAGCGCCCCGACACACACACACAGTGCAGCCCCGACCCACAGCGCCCCGACACACACACACACACAGTGCAGCCCCGACCCACAGCGCCCCGACACACACACACACACAGTGCAGCCCCGACCCACAGCGCCCCGACACACACACACACACAGTGCAGCCCCGACCCACAGCGCCCCGACACACACACACAGTGCAGCCCCGACCCACAGCGCCCCCGACACACACACACACACAGTGCAGCCCCGGCCCACAGCGCCCCTGACACACACACACACACAGTGCAGCCCCGACCCACAGCGCCCCTGACACACACAGTGCAGCCCCGGCCCACAGCGCCCCCTGACACACACACACACACACAGTGCAGCCCCGACCCACAGCGCCCCGACACACACACACACACAGTGCAGCCCCGACCCACAGCGCCCCGACCCACAGCGCCCCGACACACACACACACACAGTGCAGCCCCGACCCACAGCGCCCCGACACACACACACAGTGCAGCCCCGACCCACAGCGCCCCGACACACACACACAGTGCAGCCCCGACCCACAGCGCCCCGACACACACACACACACAGTGCAGCCCCGACCCACAGCGCCCCGACACACACACACACACAGTGCAGCCCCGACCCACAGCGCCCCGACACACACACACAGTGCAGCCCCGACCCACAGCGCCCCCCGACACACACACACACACAGTGCAGCCCCGGCCCACAGCGCCCCCTGACACACACACACACACAGTGCAGCCCCGACCCACAGCGCCCCCTGACACACACAGTGCAGCCCGGCCCACAGCGCCCCCTGACACACACACACACACACAGTGCAGCCCGACCCACAGCGCCCCCCGACACACACACACACACAGTGCAGCCCCGACCCACAGCGCCCTGACACACACAGCGCCCCGACACACACACACACACACAGCGCCCCCCGACACACACACACACACACAGTGCAGCCCCGACCCACAGCGCCCCCTGACACACACACACAGCGCCAGGCCCCGGCTACAGCCTCGGTTGTAACCCTCAAAACTCGGCCCCGGCTCCAGTTATTAACCACCGGCAGCAGGTAACTCAGCCTGAGCACTGTCTGTCTGTCTGTCTGTCTGTCTGTCTGTCTGTCTGTCTGTCTGGGGGCTGTGTGTGTGTCTGGGGCTGTGTGTGTGTCTGGGGCTGTGTGTGTGTCTGGGGCTGTGTGTGTGTGTCTGGGGCCTGTGTGTGTGTGTGTGGGGGCTGTGTGTGTGTGTCTGGGGGCTGTGTGTGTGTCTGGGGCCTGTGTCTGTCTGTCTGGGGGCTGTGTGTGTGTGTGTCTGGGGGCTGTGTGTGTGTGTGTCTGGGGGCTGTGTGTGTGTGTCTGGGGCTGTGTGTGTGTCTGGGGCCTGTGTCTGTCTGTCTGGGGGCTGTGTGTGTGTGTCTGGGGGCTGTGTGTGTGTGTGTCTGGGGGCTGTGTGTGTGTCTGGGGGCTGTGTGTGTGTGTCTGGGGCCTGTGTGTGTGTGTGTGTCTGGGGGCTGTGTGTGTGTGTGTCTGGGGCTGTGTGTGTGTGTGTCTGGGGGCTGTGTGTGTGTCTGGGGCCTGTGTGTGTGTGTCTGGGGGCTGTGTGTGTGTCTGGGGGCTGTGTGTGTGTCTGGGGCTGTGTGTGTGTGTGTGTCTGGGGCTGTGTGTGTGTCTGGGGCCTGTGTGTGTGTGTGTCTGGGGCTGTGTGTGTGTCTGGGGGCTGTGTGTGTGTGTCTGGGGCCTGTGTGTGTGTCTGGGGGCTGTGTGTGTGTCTGGGGGCTGTGTGTGTGTCTGGGGGCTGTGTGTGTGTGTGTGTCTGGGGGCTGTGTGTGTGTCTGGGGCCTGTGTGTGTGTGTCTGGGGGCTGTGTGTGTGTGTCTGGGGGCTGTGTGTGTGTGTGTCTGGGGCTGTGTGTGTGTGTCTGGGGGCTGTGTGTGTGGGGGTGTGTGTTTGTCTGGGGCCTGTGTGTGTGTGTCTGGGGGCTGTGTGTGTGTGTCTGGGGGCTGTGTGTGTGTCTGGGGGCTGTGTGTGTCTGGGCGGGTGTGTGTGTGTCTGGGGCCTGTGTGTGTGTGTCTGGGGGCTGTGTGTGTGTGTCTGGGGCCTGTGTGTGTGTGTCTGGGGGCTGTGTGTGTGTCTGGGGCCTGTGTGTGTGTGTGTGTCTGGGGGCTGTGTGTGTGTGTGGGGGGGCTGTGTGTGTGTGTCTGGGGGCTGTGTGTGTGTCTGGGGCCTGTGTGTGTGTGTGTCTGGGGGCTGTGTGTGTGTGTGTGTCTGGGGGCTGTGTGTGTGTGTCTGGGGGCTGTGTGTGTGTCTGGGGGCTGTGTGTGTGTGTCTGGGGGCTGTGTGTGTGTGTCTGGGGGCTGTGTGTGTGTCTGGGGGCTGTGTGTGTGTGTCTGGGGCTGTGTGTGTGTGTCTGGGGCCTGTGTGTGTGTCTGGGGCCTGTGTGTGTGTGTCTGGGGCTGTGTGTGTGTGTCTGGGGCCTGTGTGTGTGTGTCTGGGGGCTGTGTGTGTGTGTCTGGGGGCTGTGTGTGTGTGTGTCTGGGGGCTGTGTGTGTGTGTCTGGGGCTGTGTGTGTGTGTGTCTGGGGGCTGTGTGTGTGTCTGGGGGCTGTGTGTGTGTGGGGGGGGCCTGTGTGTGTGTGTCTGGGGCCTGTGTGTGTGTGTCTGGGGGCTGTGTGTGTGTGTCTGGGGCTGTGTGTGTGTGTGTGGGGCCTGTGTGTGTGTGTGTGGGGGCTGTGTGTGTGTGTCTGGGGCTGTGTGTGTGTGTGTGGGGCCTGTGTGTGTGTGTTGGGGCTGTGTGTGTGTGTGTGGGGCTGTGTGTGTGTGTTGGGGCTGTGTGTGTGTGTGTTGGGGCTGTGTGTGTGTGGGGGCTGTGTGTGTGTCTGGGGCCTGTGTGTGTGTGTGGGGGCTGTGTGTGTGTCTGGGGCCTGTGTGTGTGTGTGTCTGGGGGCTGTGTGTGTGTGTGTCTGGGGCTGTGTGTGTGTGTCTGGGGGCTGTGTGTGTGTCTGGGGGCTGTGTGTGTGTGTGTGTCTGGGGGCTGTGTGTGTGTGTCTGGGGGCTGTGTGTGTGTCTGGGGGCTGTGTGTGTCTGGGGGGGGCTGTGTGTGTCTGGGGGCTGTGTGTGTGTGTCTGGGGGCTGTGTGTGTGTGTCTGAGGCCTGTGTGTGTGTGTCTGGGGGCTGTGTGTGTGTCTGGGGGCTGTGTGTGTGTGTGTCTGGGGCCTGTGTGTGTGTGTCTGGGGCCTGTGTGTGTGTGTCTGGGGCTGTGTGTGTGTGTCTGGGGGCTGTGTGTGTGTCTGGGGGCTGTGTGTGTGTGTCTGGGGGCTGTGTGTGTGTCTGGGGGCTGTGTGTGTGTCTGGGGCCTGTGTGTGTGTCTGGGGCCTGTGTGTGTGTGTGGGGGCTGTGTGTGTGTCTGGGGCCTGTGTGTGTGTGTCTGGGGGCTGTGTGTGTGTGTCTGGGGGCTGTGTGTGTGTGTCTGGGGGCTGTGTGTGTCTGGGGGGGGGGGCTGTGTGTGTCTGGGGGCTGTGTGTGTGTGTCTGGGGGCTGTGTGTGTGTCTGGGGGCTGTGTGTGTCTGGGGGGGGGGGCTGTGTGTGTCTGGGGGCTGTGTGTGTGTGTCTGGGGGCTGTGTGTGTGTGTGTCTGGGGCCTGTGTGTGTGTGTCTGGGGCCTGTGTGTGTGTGTCTGGGGCTGTGTGTGTGTGTCTGGGGGCTGTGTGTGTGTCTGGGGGCTGTGTGTGTGTCTGGGGCCTGTGTGTGTGTCTGGGGGCTGTGTGTGTGTCTGGGGGCTGTGTGTGTGTGTCTGGGGCCTGTGTGTGTGTGTCTGGGGCTGTGTGTGTGTCTGGGGGCTGTGTGTGTGTGTCTGGGGGCTGTGTGTGTGTGTGTCTGGGGCCTGTGTGTGTGTGTCTGGGGCCTGTGTGTGTGTGTCTGGGGGCTGTGTGTGTGTGTCTGGGGGCTGTGTGTGTGTCTGGGGGCTGTGTGTGTGTCTGGGGGCTGTGTGTGTGTGGGGGCTGTGTGTGTGTGTCTGAGGCCTGTGTGTGTGTGTCTGGGGGCTGTGTGTGTCTGGGGGGGCTGTGTGTGTGTGTCTGGGGCCTGTGTGTGTGTGTCTGAGGCCTGTGTGTGTGTGTCTGAGGCCTGTGTGTGTGTGTGGGGCCTGTGTGTGTGTCTGGGGGCTGTGTGTGTGTCTGGGGCTGTGTGTGTGTGTCTGGGGCTGTGTGTGTGTGTCTGGGGGCTGTGTGTGTGTGTCTGGGGGCTGTGTGTGTGTGTCTGGGGGCTGTGTGTGTCTGGGGGCTGTGTGTGTGTGTCTGGGGGCTGTGTGTGTGTCTGGGGGCTGTGTGTGTGTCTGGGGGCTGTGTGTGTGTCTGGGGGCTGTGTGTGTGGGGGGGGCTGTGTGTGTGGTCTGGGGCTGTGTGTGTCTGGGGGCTGTGTGTGTGTGTCTGGGGCCTGTGTGTGTGTGTCTGGGGCCTGTGTGTGTGTCTGGGGCTGTGTGTGTGTGTGTCTGGGGCTGTGTGTGTGTGTGTCTGGGGGCTGTGTGTGTGTCTGGGGCCTGTGTGTGTGTGTCTGGGGCCTGTGTGTGTGTGTCTGGGGGCTGTGTGTGTGTGTGTCTGGGGGCTGTGTGTGTGTCTGGGGGCTGTGTGTGTGTCTGGGGGCTGTGTGTGTGTCTGGGGGGCTGTGTGTGTCTGGGGGCTGTGTGTGTCTGGGGGCTGTGTGTGTGGGGGGGGGGCTGTGTGTGTGTGTGCGCGTGCGGGGGGGGCTGTGTGTGTGTGTGTGTCTGGGCGGGCGGGGGGCTGAGTGTGTGTCTGGGCGGGCGGGGCGGGGGGGCTGTGTGTGTGTGTGTCTGGGCGGGCGGGCGGGGGGGCTGAGTGTGTGTCTGGGCGGGCGGGGGGGCTGAGTGTGTGTCTGGGCGGGCGGGGGGGCTGTGTGTGTGTCTGGGCGGGCGGGCGGGCGGCTGTGTGTGTGTGTGTCTGGGCGGGCGGGCGGGGGGGGCTGTGTGTGTGTCTGGGCGGGCGGGCGGGGGGCTGTGTGTGTGTGTGTCTGGGCGGGCGGGCGGGGGGCTGTGTGTGTGTCTGGGCGGGCGGGCGGGGGGGCTGAGTGTGTGTCTGGGCGGGCGGGCGGGGGGGCTGAGTGTGTGTCTGGGCGGGCGGGGGGGCTGAGTGTGTGTGTGTGTCTGTCTGAGGGCTGACTATACAGGGTTGGGTAGGGTGGACATCAGCTGGACAGTGCAATGGGAGGGTGTGTGGTGTCAACTGGTCAAACTCTGTCAGTACTCCACACCTTGGTGTGAGGTCCTGGTGGTTCAGACTGTAATGAACATCTGGAATGTGCCCAACCCCTCAGCAGATTGTTGAGCAGTGACCATGGGCCGAATCTTCCTGGACCACATCGGAGGCACTCGACTCTTCTCCTGCGCCAACTGTGACACCATCCTGACCAACCGCTCTGAGCTCATTTCCACTCGCTTCACTGGGGCCACTGGCAGGGCCTTCCTCTTCAACAAGGTGAGGGCTGGGCCTTCTGCTCGAGGGGGAAGTGCTTGTCCTGTCTAGGGGAGGAGAACCGCGGACATGATGTCCTGAGGGAGGGAGGGAGAGAGGGAAACACGATGCCCCGGAGGGAGAAGGGGAAAAGAGAGAGGGAGATGTGATGTCCCAGGGGATGGGGAGAAAGAGAGACATGATTCCCTGTGAAGATGGGAGAGACACAGTGCTTGGGGGGGGGGGGGGGGTTGAGATGTCATGATTTGTGGAGTTTTCTAGTGTAGTGGTTAGTGCACATGCCTCGCGTGAGCAAGAGGATCTGGGTTCGATTCCCAGGCAGGGTGAAACCTTAGACAAGTTTCCTTACTCCACACGCCTCTATTTACCTAGCAGTAAGTAGGAACCTGGTTGTTAGTCAATTGGCAGATTCCTATCTGGGGATAATAATACCTTTTTTTAGAAAAAGAAAGAAAAAAAAATACTCAATCCACGACCATTTGTGGAACACTGCTGTGTGCAATTGATTACCGCATTTCGCCCACAAAATACAGTCACGTGAAGGGCTTTGAGACACCTCAATGATTTGATAAGGTGCTATATCAAATGTAAGTATCATTATTATGATGCTAAGTGGGCTGTTGTATGTGCGCGTCTGCCCCCACAGGTGGTGAATCTGCAGTACAGTGAGGTCCAGGACCGGGTCATGTTGACTGGGCGACACATGGTGCGGGATGTCAGCTGCAAGAACTGCAACAGCAAACTGGGCTGGATTTACGAGTTTGCCACCGAGGACAGCCAACGGTACAAAGAGGGCCGCGTGATCTTGGAGCGTGCACTGGTGCGGGAGAGCGAGGGGTTCGAAGAGCACGTACCTTCTGACAATTCTTGAACGTTCAATGACCCAGCCCAAACCAAACCCCTTCATTTCCCCTCCTTCCCTCGCTTTTCTTTCCGTCGCTGAAAAAAGCATTTCTATTTAAAAGAGAAAAACGAAACAAAAAAAAAAAATGTCTTTGCGTGATCGTGGCCTCTGCATTGATTGGGTGGGGATTGAGCGGTAGTGGGAAGTTAGAACTGCTTGCTCTTGTGAACGGGCGCGCAATCTGTGGGTCGGTAGTACAGCAGCATGCTAGCTCGCTTTCTCTTTCCATCCAGCTCCAACACCGTGCAGTTTCACACTGCCTCGGCCCCAGCTCCCGATGATCCAGCGGGTGGTGGCGGCACCGAGCCTGAGACAAAGGATCCCTTCGGGGTCCGCGAGTAGTTATTGAGTTCAGGAAATGGCTCTGAGATGCCAAGGTGTGTTTTAATTTAAATTTTTAAGTGATTTCTTGCCTGTACCAGCTCTTTTTTTTTTCTCTCTCTCTCTCCCCAGAAGTTGGTATGCACTTTGTTTGTTGTTATTGATAGGAGACATTGGGAGTGAGGGCGAGATGCCCAGATATTTGGGCTGGATAGGACCTGGAGAGTGATTTTTCATCTGTGATGCGCTTTCCAACTCTGTGTGCTTGGTCGAGGCTTCTCTCTCCCACCCACAATGAGCAGCGCCAACATCAGCAATAGCTTTCCCCATCTCCAGCTTTCTGATGTGTGATTTGGCTGAGACCCTGGGTTGGTTTTTGGCTTGTGCCAACCCCAAGCAAGTCTACCTACAGCTCAGCCCGTGCCCCCGCTCACCTCTCTCTTGTACCTCTCTCGCCCTGCTCTCGCTGATCATCTGTGGGGGCTTTCTCCTCGCGGAGTGTGTATCAGATGTAACTTACATGTAGTGATAATAAAAAGGACATTAGTCAAGTGTGGAGTCATGCTGTTGCAGTCTTTCCCAATCTCAGTGAGCTCAAGCACCTTTGTACACAGTGTCCACAAAGTCCTGGTGTGTTTTTCTACACACGCTACAGCTGACCAACAACTGAAACACGTGGAAGAATGATGATAATTGTATTTCGAAGTACTTCATTGTATTCAGTACAAGTGTTTAACTGTACTTAGATATCCAGAGGATGGGTGTATGTGAACGCCATATACTTTCATGGCAGATAATGATCCGTTGCCATGCTCGGTGCCACATCTTCCGTAACATGGATGGAGCGACGAGGTCAAATGCATCTCTGACAGCTTGTTTCAGCTCCTCCATAATCTCATGTTTTGTAACGGGGGTAACAGGACTTTGTGGACATCCTGTACACTGATGAGTATTTCAACACAATGATGTCACTCCAACCCTCTGTGCATGCTGCCAGAGCTGTAGCACCAAATCTCAATAATAAATGATCCCCAAATAAAATTGTCACTCCATGGCTATTTTTGGAACATTGCTGTGTGCAACTGCCTGCTGTGTTTCACCCACAAAAATAGTCACTGAGCTTTACAGTATATCCTGTGAAGCATTTTGAGATGTCTCAATGATGCAATAAGACGCTATAACAAACCCAAGGATTATTATTACAGAGAGAGGTTGATAGGGTATGCACATGGGTTGATTGTTGGCAAATTAAGCTTGGTACAGACAAATGTAAGGAAGTAAAAATAGGAGGCACACAAACCTATGGCAGGATAGAACTTCCCAGGGGGAAGCTAAGCGACCTAGAGGTGATGTTTAACTTGCTGTTCATCATAAATGAGGCAAACCAAGATGCCGGGCTACATATGGGACATCAGATGAATTCAGATCATATGGGTTCCTGATATATCCACGATTTTGTGTGAAAGGGTTAAATCTACACAGTTCACTGTCTACCTCAGTTTGATGCTGCTTTCAGTGCTCAGGGAACAAAGTGAAACTGCATCAGTGGTGTCTCAACCTCCTGATGACATTGCCACACTCACAGGCAGATCAACACAGCAGACAAGAGGGGAAAACAGCAACCATGGATCAAAGGAATCTGCAGGGTCTGTGAATGTGAGGCACTGCGTAGAGGAATTTAAAAAGAGGTACCCGAGTCTTTAGGTTTCGTATTGCACTTACAGCCGTGAATGTCTCAAAGTGTTTTGCACACATCTGTAAAGTATAGTGATCATTGTAGGTAAATGTGGCAGCCAATTTACTCGTTGAAGTGAATGGCCGTGAGTGACACCAGCTCCCCTTCCCTTTAAACTTTAGGTGCGTTATCCTTGCTCCTCCCACCTCTTTACCAGAGTAGTAAGTGGGAACCTGGTTGTTAGTCGATCGGTGGATCGCTTTCTGGGGGTTCATAATCCCTCCAAAATAAATACTAAATTGGCCACTTCAATCCACGGCTGTTCGTGGGACACCGCTGAGCGCAAGTGTTTGCTGCGATTCACCCCCACACACACACACACACACACAGTCAATCCACTTTACAGCGTATCCTGCGAAGAGCTTCGAGGCGTCTCGGAAGACGTGATAAGGCGCCGTATCAAATGCAAAAGGAATATTATTATTATTATTATTATCATTATCATCATTGCTCTCCCGGCTCCGATGAGGAGCAGAATGGCGGATTTCGATCAGGGCTCTGGAAACAGTGTCGAGAGAAGGTCTTCGAAAGGGGGAAAGGGATATAATGTGTACATATTTTTTTTAAAAAAAGGTTGAAAGGAAAACATGTTAAAGACGAGGCCCCGCCCAGAGCTGCTGTCCCTCACTCAGTGCAACCAAAACCCGTCCCCCCCGCCTCTCGCCCCGCCCGCCGTCACCGTCACCATGGCGACGCCCGCCCGCTGTTTCCCTCCGGAAGCGTTGGGCCGACGCACTCCAGCTCGAGGGCAACCAACTTCCGCTTCCGGGAGTTTGCTGCTGAACGAACGACGGCGCCAAAGTCACAGAGATACACAGAGACGAGAGCGATAGAGAGAGAGGGAGGGAGGGGGAGAGGGAGAGCGCGCGGGGCAGGGCGGGGCGGGGCCGGGCGGGGCAGGGCCGGGCCGGGCGGGCAGGGCAGGGCCGGGCGGGGCAGGGCAGGGGCGGGGCAGGGCCGGGCCGGGCAGGGCAGGGCAGGGCAGGGCCGGGCGGGGCGGGGCAGGGCGGGGCAGGGCCGGGCCGGGCAGGGCAGGGCCGAGGCTGTCACTGACACTGGCATTGAGCAGCGCGGGAAGGAGCTGAGGGATGGCGAGGCGGAGGCCGCGCTGCTGTAGCTGAGGGAGGGAGGGAGGGAGGGAGAAGCGGGCCCGGCGGCGGCGGCGGCGGCGGCGGCATCACCCGGAGAGCAGCGGCGGCGGTACAACTCGCTGACAGGTAAGCAGCACCGCACACACAGCCTCAGCCTGGCACCACACAGCCTCAGCCTGGCACCACACAGCCTCAGCCTGGCACCACACAGCACAGCCCGGCACACACAGCCTCAGCCTGGCACCACACAGCCTCAGCCTGGCACCACACAGCCTCAGCCTGGCACCACACAGCCTCAGCCTGGCACCACACAGCCTCAGCCTGGCACCACACAGCACAGCCCGGCACACACAGCACAGCACAGCCCGGCACACACAGCCCGGCACACACAGCACAGCACACACAGCCCGGCACACACAGCACAGCACACACAGCCCGGCACACACAGCCCGGCACACACAGCACAGCACAGCCCGGCACACACAGCACAGCACACACAGCCCGGCACACACAGCCCGGCACACACAGCACAGCACAGCCCGGCACACACAGCCCGGCACACACAGCCCGGCACACACAGCCTCAGCCTGGCACCACACAGCCTCAGCCCGGCACCACACAGCCCGGCACACACAGCCCGGCACACACAGCCCGGCACACACAGCACCGCACACACAGCCTCAGTCCGGCACCACACAGCACAGCACACACAGCCTCAGCCTGGCACCACACAGCCTCAGCCCGGCACCACACAGCCCGGCACACACAGCACAGCACACACAGCCCGGCACACACAGCACAGCACAGCCCGGCACACACAGCACAGCACAGCCCGGCACACACAGCACAGCACACACAGCCCGGCACACACAGCCCGGCACACACAGCACAGCACAGCCCGGCACACACAGCCCGGCACACACAGCCTCAGCCTGGCACCACACAGCACAGCACAGCACAGCCTCAGCCTGGCACACACAGCCTGGCACACACAGCACAGCACACACAGCCTCAGCCCAGCACACACAGCCCGGCACACACAGCACAGCCTCAGCCTGGCACACACAGCCTGGCACACACAGCCCGGCACACACAGCACAGCACACACAGCCTCAGCCTGGCACCACACAGCACAGCACAGCCTCAGCCTGGCACACACAGCCCGGCACACACAGCCCGGCACACACAGCCCGGCACACACAGCCCGGCACACACAGCCTAGAACAACACAGACTTGCATGGCACAGACTGGCATGGTACCACATGGCACAGTGCAGCCCAATCCACTGTCTACCACAGTGCAGACTGACATAATATAGCCTGGCATGTCCAGCCCATAATAATAATATATATAATAAATATAATAATGTCTCACACTGCCTGGCCCTGCGCAGCCTGGCACAGTGCAGCCCAGCCCATCTCACATTGGCTGACCCAGTACTACCTGGCACGGCCCATCTCTCACAGTCTTTTATGTTTACAGTCGATCTCCTGCAAAGTCTGGCACGACACTGCAAACGGCATTAAAGTAAATTTGATAATCAGTTGAAGAGCAATATAAAAGGAAATAGCAGAGGAATTAGAACAGGAACAGGAGGCCATTAGGTCAGTCGAGCCTGTTTCACCAGTTTATTGGAAAAAGCAAGCTTTGGCTCAGTCTATCACACGCTCGCCTCTGAGTCAGAAGTTGTGTATTCACGGCCCACATCAGGAACTTTGAGCTCACAGTTGGGTTAACAGGGAAATACTACATTGTTGGAGGTGCCGTCCTTTGGATGAGACATTAAACTGATGCCCTGTCTACCTGTTCAAGTGGATATTCTGGACTTGAATTCCACAAAATACCCAGTCAATCCACTTTACAGTATATCCTGTGAAGCGCTTTGTGAGTCTCAACAATGTGATAAGATGCTATATCAAATGTAAGAATTACTATTATATTGCAAAGATTATTAATTACGAGACTAATCCTATTTCTGACATTTCCTCATACCATTTAATTCTTTTACTTTCCAAGTATTCGTCTGTCTCCCTGTTAAACATCCTGTTGATCTGCCTCTACGGCTTTTGGGATGGAGTGTTCCACATTCTCACTGCCAGAGTGTGAGGCCATGTTTTCTGGTTTAGCTCTAACTTGCATATTCTGTTGTGTTTTGGCTCTGTCTCCCACAGGGCCAATATCTAGCTTCACAATACCCTTCATTATTGTAAACACCTCAATCAGATCACCCCTTGTGTGTCAGTCTGGCACAGTGGTAGCGTTTTCGTCTCTTTGTCAGAAGGTTGTGGGTTCATCCTCACGTCGGGACTTGGAATTACTTAGTCTAAGGTGACACTCCAGTGCAGCGCTGGGAGGGTGTTGCATTGTTGTAGGTGTTGGGTTTTGGGCAATGAGCAGAATAAAACCAGCTTATTCTTTACAGCCTTCCTTTAAATAAGGACCAGAGAACAGAGGAACCAAAGACACTCAGCAACTTATGTTTTTGAAAATTTCTTTACTTAATAAGAAATGTAAAGCTTGTTGCTTCATTTATCACAAACACAACAGACAGTCTAGCATAGACAAATGTCTGTATCAAAGTCAGTTGGTAAATTCACAAACAGCAGCAAAAGTCTTGCATCAGACGAAAAGTCTGGTTTCAGACCAGAAACCTCTTCGTAAATCGTAAATCACTTCGTTGATTACGAAGTGAAAGTTGAATCTTTAAATGATGGACAGCTGAGCTGTGTATTTTATTCAACAGTTGTTAGCTGGTGTTAATTCTGCTCGACAGTTGTTATTCTTCTTCCCGTTACCTTTAAGACGATTTCAGACGTTCTGAAATTTCTGCAGTTTCCTTCTTCCTGAAATTGCTGGAGTTAATGAACATTGATGAAACGATGGAATAGTCTAAGTCTGACGGATTTTAACCCCGAAGAAAACACATTTGCTTCACTAGTTCATATTGTCACATGAAAGATGGCTCTTGTGTGGACAGCACCTGATATGCTATGTCCTAGGCTGAACAAAGTTTAGTTCATAACATAAGAACATAAGAATTAGGAGCAGGAGTAGGCCATTTGTCCCCTCTAACCTGCCCCGCTATTCAATAAGATCATGGCTGATCTATTCTAACTCCACCTACCCGCCTTATCCCCATATCCCTTAATCCACAAGAAATCTATCAATCTCAGTCTTGAATATGTTCAAGGACTGAGCATCTACAGCCCTTTGGGGTAGAGAATTCCATAAATTCACTACCCTCTGAGTGAAGAAGTTTTTCCTCAACTCAGTGCGAAAGGGCTTACCCCTAATTTTAAGACTATGACTCCTGGTTATAGTTTCTCCAACCAGGGGAAAAAGTCTCCCACCATTTATTCTGTCGTGCCCCTTTAATAATCTTATAGGTTTCTATAAGAACACCTCTCATTCTTCTATATTCTAGAAAATATAGGCCTAAATTGCTCAACCTATCCTCAAAATTCATCCCCCTCATCTCAGGTACCAACCTAGTGAATCTATGTTGTACACGAGGCGAGTGCATCCTTTCTTAAATAAGAAGACCAAAACTGCACACAATACTCCAGGTGCGGTCTCACCAGGGCCCTATACAGTTGCAGCAAGACTTCCCTACTCTTATATTCTAACCCTTTTGTAACAAATGCCAACATACCGTTGGCCTTCCTAATTGCTTGCTGTACCTATAAACTAACTTTTTGTAACTGGTGTACAAGGACACCCAAGTCCCTCTGAACACTGACACTATCTAGTCTCTCCACTTCTAAAAAATAATCTGCTCTACTGTTTTTGCCACCGAGGTGGATGACCTCACACTTCCCTACATTATACTTCATCTGCCACCTATTTGCCCACTCACCTAGACTATCTATATCTTGTTGCATTTTTTTAATATCATCCTCGGTGTTTACTCTCCCTCCTAGTTTAGTGTCATTTGCGAATTTGGATATATTAAGTTCGATGTCCTCATCTAGATCGTTGACGTAGATTGTAAATAGTTGAGGCCCAAGCACTGATCCCTGTGGCACGCCACTAGTCACATCCCGCCAATCTGAGAAGGACCTGTTTATCCCTACTCTTTGTTTTCTTCCCCTTAGCCATTCTTCAATCCATGCTAATATATTCAACCATACATCTTTTATAATCGATTTGCCACAGACAGGATGAAAATGTAAAATCTTTCCATTCTCACGTCCATGAACCAATTATCTCACATAAAATAACAATAAAATACAATCTGCAGAATTGTTATTGTTATGGAAGACCATGAATTGTTATAAAAAACATCTTTAACACAAACGTAAATTTGTTATGGGATGACATCTTCAGCTACCTCATCTTTAACACAACACCAATTAAAACATGAATTTGTTATGGACAAACATCATGAAAAATCTTTCAGCTACAATAACAAGTCATCTTGATTTTCTTAGCTACATCATCATTTTAACCATTAATCAAAATGGTTATTTCGACTACATGGGTTAACATATATTCACAATTTCAGTTATGAAACGGGATTACAACATATGTGCTCTTCAGATGAGACTTTAAACTGAGATCCCAACTGCCTGTTCAGGGGTATGTTAAAGATCCCGTGGCACTATTCAAAAAGAGAAGGGAGTTTCTCCTGGTGTCCTGGCCAATAATCCCCCCAAATAAAATTGGTCACTCACTCCATGGTTGTTTGTGGGAATATTGCTGTGTGCCACTGGCTGCCACATTTCGCTCACAAAATACACAGTCAACCACTTTACAGTACTTCCTATGAAGCACTTTGAGGATGTGAAAGGTAGTATATCAAGGATTATTATTATTAATTGGGGAGCAAGCACGATGAGGAGGGAGCAGGGAATGGGATTAGTGTATAGAGCTCCTGCTGGGAAGGGAGCACCAGCACAGACGCCAATGGTCAAAGAGCCACCTCCTTTGCTGTAAATTCTGTGTTACTATGATTGGGAACACTTGATCACTGACGTGGTTTATGCCAGAGAGGGAACAGCTGCGGTTGGATTAAAGGAGCAGGATTTACGACTTAAACCAGTCTGTACAAAGGCCGATTCAACATTAATCTTTAATCTGTAATACTTTGGTTCAGTGAGTGTGTAGAGGAGAAACCCGGTTGGACGAGAGTTTGTCCTGCTCTGTCCCGTTCTTAAGCTGTGGCTGCAACTGGGTCTCGCAGGTACTTTGTACATGTCTTGCTGAAAGTACGCAGAGTGCAGCTGCTGTCCCCAAGACCCAGAGCTGCTTTCAAAGTCCTCCACGGCCTTGCTCCTCCCTACATCTGTGACCTGCTAACTCCATACTGACCTCTGTTGAATGGGCTCTGGCCTACTCCATGTCCCTTGCCCTGCCCACCCCACCATCGGCGGTTGGGCCTTCAACCATTCTGCCCCCACACTTTGGAACTCCATCCCACAGTCCCTTCACCGCGCCCCTCCCTTGCCTCCTTCAAGACCCATCTCAAGACTGACTGCGCTTTCGGTCACCCTCTTACCCACACCTTCCCTGTCCTCCATCTCTACTGGTGGGTGGGTGGAAGTTTACCTAATTGGAGGGAATAATAACAATCTTTGTATTTCATATAGCGCCTCATCACGTTGTTGAGACGTCTCAAAGGGCTTCACAGAAACACGTTAAAGTGAATTGACTGTATGTTTTGTGGGTGAAACATGGCGGCCAATTGTGCACAGCACTGTCCCAAAAACAGCCGTGGATTGAGTGACCAAATTATTTTTTTTTGAAGGGATTATCCCTGGAAAGCAATCCGCCAATCAACTAACAACTGGGTTCTACTGACTGCTGGGTAAAAAGAGGCGTGTGGAGTAAGGAAACTTGCCTAAGGTTTCACCCTGCCCGGGAATCTAACCTGTGAGGAGAGTGGCTAAGTAATACGTTACAGGACTTCAATAAGAGTGTGGAATTCGAGTGCGGGGTCACTGACTCTTTCTGGCCGCATTCCCCCCCGTGGGGCAGTAGGGTTGTGTTGAGGGGCAATAACTGACTCTCTCTCTGTGCAGGACAGGATGGTCGCACTGAGGGGACCGCTCTTCCTGCTCCTGCTGTTTTTCAGCAGTTTTTTCGGCAGTATCTTCCTGCTGGCTCCCCTCCTGCCACTCATGCTGATCTCCACGTCGCTGTATCGCTGGATCACAGATCGCATCATCGCTACCTGGTTCACCTTTCCCGTGGTAAGTGCCAGGACCACACTCACACTGCTTCTAATTCACTCCCCGTGAGATGTTTTCATGTGATCAGGCACTAGATCAGAAGAACACGGGCCAGGGAGTCCCTTAATGTAGTGGTTAGAGCACTCACCTCCCAAGCAAGGTGATTCCTGGTGGTGGTTTGTGGGGGAGGGACATTAGATAAGTTTCTTCTTCCTCCTTGATGGGGCTGGGATTTAACTCATTCCCTCTAGTGGGGCTGAAATTTAACCCTTTCCCCTCAGGGATTTAAGTCGTTTGCTGTGCTCCACAGGCGCTGATAGAGATGGTGCTTGGGGTGAAGTTGGTGATCACAGGCGATGGCTTCTTCCCTGGCGAGCGGAGTGTGATAATCATGAACCACCGCACCAGGCTGGACTGGATGTTTCTGTGGAACTGCTTATTGCGATGCAGCTATCTGAGGAAGCAGAAGATCTGTCTGAAAGACACCCTAAAGTCCCTTCCGGGCTTCGGTAAGTGCCTTGTGTGTGTGCGTGTATGTAATCCACTCCAGGTTTTTTTGGTTAGTTCCTGTGTGTGTGTAATCCATTCGTTTNAAAAATATATGTCGCTGGAAACAATCAGCAGGTCAGGCAGCATCTATGGAGAGAGGAAAGTGAATTAACATTGCAGGTTGATGACCTTTGCTCATACTTCCAGCATCTGCAGTACTTCTTTTTATTCATTGAAGGTTTTGGTTAGATCTTTCACACCGTAAGAACTAACCTACCTATCCAACCTGCTTGTACCCCACTCCACAAACCACTTCATTCACTCGGCTGACTCCGGCCTCCTGCATGTCCCCTCCACTCCACACTTGGTGGTTGTACTTTCAGCCCCGAAACTGTGGAACTGTCTGGCTCAGTCCCTTTGCTTTACTGTCAAGATCACACCTGAAGAACTTCCTCTTCAACCGTACCTACAGTCACTTCCCCTTTCTCTCTGGCTCGGTGTCAAGCTCCGACACTGTTAGCAACAACAACTTGCATTTATATAGCGCCCCTCATGCAGGGAAGCGTCCCAGAGCGCTTGAGTCTCTCTGAGACCCTACCGCACATGAAGGGTGCAAGTTAATGCAAGTTGTTGTGCTTATGTGTGTGTAATCCACTCCTGGATTTGGTTAGTTCCTATGTTTGTGTGTGTGTCTGTGTGTGTGTATAATTCACTCTGGGTTTTGGCTGTTGAGCCTGGATCAAAATAATTCTTCAAACAGGGAATTGGATGAACACCTGAGCAATAAAACCAGGATTTAGATCACAAAATCACAAGCGGTTCAGATGAAGCAGTCCCTTCGGCCCATCGGATCCCATCCCTCCAGAACACCCGTCCTCCCATCCAGTTTCTAAGGAAACTCACCTAAGGTTTTGCCCCGCCCAGGAATCGAATCCGGTTCCTCTCGCATGTGAGACGAGTGCTCTAATCACTATGCGTGGAGGGCACTATGTAAGTGCAAGTTGTTGTTGTTTGTGAATAGCCCATATCTGCTCTGCAGGCTGGGCGATGCAGGTGGCGGCTTTTATCTTCATCCGAAGGAAGTGGGAGGAGGACCGGACCCACCTGGAGGCCATGCTGCGCTACTTCTGTGAGATCAAGCAACCACTGCAGCTGCTCATGTTCCCCGAGGGCACCGACCTGACACGTGAGTTCCTCTTGGCATCTGAGCCCACACCCCGTCGGCCACATGGGTGGGCGAATGGGGGAGGGACGAGGGCTTGGATCGCTTGGTAACTGTGCCGTTTCATCTTCTCCCACACCAAGCTTGTCAGCCTGGCTCAGTGGTAGCGCTGTTGCCTCCGAGTCAGAAAGTTGTTGGTTTAAGCCCCACGTCAGGACTTGGAATCATACGGTCTAAGATGCCACTCCAATGCAGGGTTGGGAGGCGTGCTGTATTGTCAGAGGTGCCTGAATAGACATTTAACTGAGGTCCCATCTGCCTGTTCAGGTGGACATTACAAATCCCGGGCACTATTCGGAAAGAGAAGGGAGTTTCTCTCTCCCGGTCTCCTGGTCAACAATCCCCCAAATAAAATTGGTCACTCACTCCATGGCTGTTGAGTGGGACACTGCTGTGAGCAATTGGCTGGCATATTTTACCCACAAAATACACAGTCACTGCACTTGAACAACATGATAAGGCGTAATATCAAATGCAAGGATTATTATCATTATTAGTGTGACCTGGTAATGCCTTATCAACCTGTCTGCCCCCTCCATTCAACAGGCCTGTTTCTTGTCCCCCACCCCACCATCAGCAGTTGGACCATCAGCCTCTCTTCCCTTTGGAACTCCATCCCACATTCTCTTCATCTCGCTCCCTCCCTTACCTCATTCAAGGCACGTCTCAAGACTCTCCTCTTCGACCGCGTCTTTGGTCACCCTCCTACCCCTACGCTCTCAGCCCTCCATCCCTCCTGATCTGATCCCCGGATCGGTTCCAAATCCGTGACTGTCCAGCGCCTTGGGACGTTATCCCGACATGAAAAGCGCTGTATAAATGCAATTTGATATTGTTGTTTTCCAGCCTTCACGCAGTTTCGGAGCCACGAGTACGCTGAGCAGAGCGGGCTGTCCAAGTACGAGTACGTGCTGCACCCACGTACCACCGGCTTCGCCTTCATCGTGGACCAGCTGCGGAAAGGTCAGTGCCAACCGCGCCAACTTCCCCTGGACCCTTCCTATTAAGAGGAGGCTGACGGAGGGCTGCACAGTCACTGCACTTTAGAGTATAACCTCTGAAGCTCTTTGAGACGTCTCCACGATATGAAAGGGTGCTGTATAAAATGCAAGGATTATTATTATTAACAACTATTATTCCTGTTGCTGTCCGGCAGGAGCTAACTTGGATGCGATCCACGACGTGACGGTGGCCTACCCCTACAACTTCCCCCAGACCGAGAGGCAGCTCTTCACCGGCAACTTCCCCAAAGAGATCCACTTCCATATCTACCGGCACTCAGTGGACTCCCTGCCCTCCTCGCCGGACGGGCTGAAGGCCTGGTGTCAGCAACGCTGGCGAGCCAAGGAGAAGCTGCTCAAATCCTTCTACGGGGGCCAGAGGTCCTTCAAGGTGCAGGGCGAGGGCCTGGTGCCACACTGCAAGTCCGAGCTCAGGGTTTTCCTGATCAAATGCGCCTCGCTGCTCTTCTGGCTGCCCTTCATCGCTGCGGCCTTCGTGCTGGTCTATACCTACACGGCCGCTCGCTGGTACTTCACCTCCATCCTCCTTTTCTTTATCTTCCAGGAGAAGGTCTTCGGAGGCTGTGAGGTCATGGAGCTGGCCTGCCATGCTGGGCTGAGGGGCCAGCGGCCGGCACAGCACCATGCTGAGTGACATGACTCCGCCCCACCCCCTCACTCCCCACTATGTGCCGAGTGACCCCACCTGGGGAGGGAAGGGGGGCTTTGTCTCTATGCTCCTTGTCCGTCGCACCCTAAGTGAAGAGTGTGGGGAGTGACCTTGTTGCCTCAATGCCCCCAATCTGTCTGTGTCTGTGTGTTCTTTTTATATTTGCATGGAAATGTAATTTAAAATAGCAGATTTTCTCTCTTCGTGACGGGTGTCTTGCTCCCATACCCGGGTGGAGCGAGCGGAAACAGAGCCTCTCTCCCTCCCTCCCTCTCCCCATCCCCCACCCTGCCCCACTCACTCTGATCTCATTTTGCGCCGGTTTAAAAAAGTGAAGGCGCAATTGTCAGACTGAAACAACGCAAAACAGGAGAGCATTCCCTCTGCTGTGCGTCATTCGTCCAGGTGTGCATTGGGGGGGGTTCTTGACAACGGCTTGTGTAGGCAGTACCCCTCTTCCTCTTCACCCCCCCCCCCCCTCCCAATGAGGCTGTTATAGGACAAAGCGGCAGCTCTCCTCCCCTGAGCTCAGCGATGAAATAAACCCCGGGGGTCTCTGACCGGCAACAGGGAGTGTGTGTGTGTGTGTGTGCAGGGGGGGGTGCGTGCTGTCAGTTCCACTCAGCCATTCTCACCAATCAGCGATTCAGACGCCATGAAAGCACAGATGTTGCACTTTCTCAGGACCTTGTTTCCCCACCCCTGTCCCTCGTGGTGTGAGTGAGCCAGCCCACACGGGGTGGCTGAGATGTGAGTCCAGTGTCTGATAGTTTTCTGATTCCATCCATGTGGAGGACGAGCAGGGAGCCTGGCCACTGCTTTTTATATTCCAATCCGTCCCGACTGACTCCTAGCTGTAGGTTCACCACACAAGCCTCGTAGAAATGGGGACACGCATGTCATATCTGTGTCGCCATCAACACTCATGTCGCCATATTCGTGGGACATGCACACTTGGGAGGCGTGAATAAGTACTCGTGTGCCCTGAAAGTGGGTGATGTGCGTGTAGCCCGTCCTCAACCGGTGTCGTGTTTGCTGTTTGTGTTTTTTTAAGAGAGCTTGATAGTAATAAATATTCTTCAACACTTTGCCTGTCTTTTGTACATCACACAACAATAGATTAAATTTTTATAGCACCTTTCACTTAGGGAGCTCGTCCCAAGGCGTTGGGATTTTAAGGGAAAGATTGGAGGGATGGAAAAAGGGTGAGGTGTGTCTGATTAGGGTTGCAGGAACTGAAGTCTTGGCCACCAAGGCTAGTACGGAGAGGGTGGGGGGAGGACACTAACAAGCCTGAGTTAGCTGAGTGGAGGGGGAGGAGTGTAAGAAGATTGGAGAGATAAGGAATGGATGGATTTGCAGACAGTGCTCTCAATGGCAAGCTATATGTTTCTAGCTGGTTAGACTCCAGCAGTTACCCCCCACTGTTGCCAACTTGCGCCTAACACTGGAATTAGGTAAGCAGGATGTGTCCCTGCATACTGGTTTGGTTTGCATACTCTTAAGCATGGTGATGGGTTTCCCTGAGTGTCAGATGCCCCTGTGGGTAAAACACTTCCTCACATTTGTCCTGAAATAGTCCGTTTACACAACTAAATCTGGGGATTGTTGGCCAGGACACAGGGAGAAAGAAACTACCTTCTCTTTTCGAATAGTGGTTTGGAATCTTTTAACATCCACCTGAACAGGCACAGATGGGACATTGGTTTAACGTCTCATTCTGAAGGGCAACACCTCTGACAATGCAACTCTCCCCGCGGCTCTGCATTGGAGTGTCAGCCTGGACTGAACTCAAAGTCCTTACGTGGAGCTTCTGACTCAGAAGCGAGAGCGCAACCGATGAGCCAGACTGAGAGCTGCCTGGGCCTCTTGTGCTGTTTCTTTGCTCCTCACGTTGTTGATTTAGTCAATTGCTGGTCCCCTCGTGGAGTTGCTGGCCTCCTAATGCAGTTGGTCCCCTTGTGCAGTTACTGGCCTCCTAATGCAGTTGGTCCCGTTGTGTAGTTGGTCCCCTCGTGCAGTTGCTGGTCCTCTTGTGCAGTTGATGGCCCCCTCGTGCAGCCCCATCAATGGGATGGGATGTGCTGGTACTTGTAACGATGAGGCAGCCGGTGCAGTACATGCTGCGGCCCTGTACACAACACAATAGGCCTGAGCTCAGCAATCAGAGAGTTCTGGATGTCGATGGAACAAGAGATTGTTTACATTCCCTATCCAGCTATAAACCCAACGCCACTGACTCCCACTCAACACAGCCCCCAGCCCTCCCCCACCCCACCTCCAACTTCCCCTGAGCTGTCTGTAACTCATAGAATCGTGGAATTTACTGCGCAGAAGGAGACCATTCTGAAGAGCTTAGTCCCACTCCTGTTTCTCTCCCGTTGTCCTGGCCAACAATCCTCAAGATAAAATCTATCATTCCCTTCATAGTTGTTTATGGGACATTGCTGTGTGCAAAATGGCTGCCTGTTCACCAACAAAACACACAGTCACTACACTTTACAGTGTATTTTGTGAAGAGCTTTAGGATTTGCTCCCAACATGAAAGGCATTGTACTAAATGTAAGGATTATAATTATTATTGTGATAAAATCTCGAAGCACTTCATAACAAATACTGTAAAGTATAGTGACTGTATTTTGTAGGCAAATGTAGCAGCCAATTTGCGCAGAGCAATGACCCACAAACAAATGACCAACGGTATTCACTGTAAATGGAGTGACCATGTGTCTAAGCACTACAAAGGGTTCATTGTAAAGTTTATGAAATGGATGTTTAGCTTCTCTTCATATGTATATTGTTTGTTTCCATTATTTGAATGGTGCCACACTCCACTGCCTGCCCATTTACTCTGAGCACAGACCTGCTGCCCGTCCCCCTGAAACCCTCAGTGCTACCATCAGTGGCCAAGCCACCAGCCACTACACCCCAGATTCATAAATTCATAGAAGATACAGCCAAGAAACATGCCATTCGGCCCATCTAGTCGGGCTGGTGTGTCAGACTGGCTCAGTGGTAACACTTTTGCCTCTGAGTCAGACGATTGTGGGTTCAAGCTCCACAGTCGGGATTTGGAATCACATAGTCTAACCTGACGCTCCAGTGCAGCGCTAGGGATGTGTTGCATTGTCAGAGGTGCTATCCTTTGGATGATACATTAAACCATCTGTCTGTTCAGGTGAACATTAAAGATCCCACGGCACTATTCAAAAAGTGAAGGAAGTTTCTCTCTCCCAGTGCCCTCGCCAACAATCTCCCAATAAGACTGGTCACTCACTTCATGGCTGTTGGTGGGCCCTACTGTGTACATGTGGCTGCTATGTTTCACCCACAAAATACAGTAACTGCACTTTACAGTGCTGTATATCCTGTGAAGCATTCTGAGATGTCTCAATGACATGATAAAGTGCTATAGCAAATGCAAGGATTATTATTATACTCCACAAGAGTGCCTATCCTAGATCCTATCTCTAGTCGCATATCCCGGCTTTTTCCCCATATTCCCTCAACTTTATTCTCTCTTAACTGTATGTCCAGTCTTTTTTTNAATGTTCACATGGCGTGCCACCCCAACAACTGACTGTGGTAGAGAATTCCACACTCCCACCACATTCTCTGCGTGAAAAACCTCCTCCCGATCTCCCTTAAGATGAAAATCAAGAAATATTCAATCAAGAAAAATGTATTTGTTGGGCAAAATGATTGAACCACTATTGTTCTAGACCAACTGACCACTAAAAATAATCTTTCCCTGTCCACCCTATCTAGTCCCGTAGCGTAGTGGTTAGAGCACTCGCCTAGCAAGCGAGAGGACACAGGTTCAATTCCTGGGTAGGGCAAAACCTTTGGCAAGTAATCTTACTCCACCCACACTCCTGTTTACCTAGCATTAAGTAGGAACCCAGCTGTTATTTGAATGGCGTATCGCTTCGCCGGGGAAATAATCCTTCAAAACAAAAAAAATGAGTCACTCAATCCTCAACTGTTTGTGGACACTGCTGTGCATTATTTGCTGCCATGTGCCCACAAAATACACAGTCAATCCACTTTACAATATATTCTGTGAAGCGCTTTAGGACATCTCAACAACGTGATAAGATGCTACATCAAATGCAAGCATTGTTATTATTATTATTATTGTTATTATTATCTAAGCCTCCCATCATCTATTACATTTCTGCTCAGCCTTCTGAGCTTCAGAGAAATAATGCCCAGTTATCGAGCCTTTCCGTAAAACAGTATTTCCCCAACACCCTCTGCACTTTGACATCTTTCCTATAATGAGGAACCCAAAACTGCACACAGTATTCCTACTGTGGTCCTACACTTTCAAACTCCCTGCCTCAATCCATCAACCTTGCCTCCTCTTTATCTGTCTTTAATTCCCACTTTAAAACCTAACTCTTCAACCACACCTAAGGTCATCTTCCCCTCCAGCTCTTCCCTCACTTTACCACCACTCTACAGTGCTCCAAGACACTACCCTGTGTGAAGGGTGATACGTAAATGCAAGTTGCTGTTATAGTCACAAACCTGCGCTGCCCCTTCACCATCTCCTGCAACAAGGAGGTCAAACCTGAGCACAATATTCCACCTGTGGCCAAAATGTAGCTAAGGCAATTCCAACACAATATTTTTTTAACTTGAGTGTGTCCAATGGTGTTTTTTTTCAGATTTTGCTCCACTATGGGATACGTCTCTCTGCCCTTGGTCTGACCTCTCTGCTCCTCATCTGCTCTCTTCTGGCTAGACTGCGGTTCCATGGGTGCTGGTTGCTCTCCAATACCTGTCTAAGTGACAACTACTCTTGTGTGAACCTTGGCAGCAGCAACAAGAACAACTTGTGTAGTCCACCATGTTGTGTGTCAGCCTGGCTCAGCCTGGTAGTGCTCTCACTTCTGAGTCAGAAGGTTGAATCCCACAGTCTAAGCTGACACTCCAATGCAGCGCTGGGGGTTTGCATTGTCGGAGGTGTCGTCGTTCGAATAAGACCTTAAACCAAGGTCCCACCTGCCTGTTCAGGTAGATGTTAAGGATCCCATGCCTTTGAAAAGAGAAATGAGTTTCTCTCCCGGTGTCCTGGCCAACAATCCCCCAAATAAAATTGGTCACTCACTACGTGGCTATTTGTGACAAGGTGACAATGGATAAGGTGCTATATCGAATGCAAGGATTATTATTATTATTCACACAGGGTAACATCTTGGAGTGTTTGGCAGAAGTGTCAGCAAGCCACTCGGCTGTAGAGGAATGGCCTGCCAACATTTAGTGGAGTCCTGTAGCTCAGTGGTTAGAGCACTCGCTTTGCAAGTGAGAGATCTGAGTTCAATTCCAGGCAGAGGGCGAAACCTTGGGCAAGTTTCCTTACTCCACACAGAGCCTAATAATAATCCCACTAAAACAAAAAACAATAATAAATTGGTCATTTTCAATCTACGACTGTTTGTGGGATACTGCTGTGCGCAATTGGCTGCCGCGTTTACCCACAAATATACAGTATATTCACTTTACAGTATATTCTGTGAAGCGCTTTGGGACGTCTAGAAGACGTGAAAAGCGCTATATCAAATGCAAGGATTATTATTATTATTATTATTTACTGCCAAACTCTGACCTCTCCCCACCTGTGGCTCCGTGAGCCAATTACCCCCATCCTCTCCCGGCTCCACTGGTTTCCCATCCCCCAGAGGATCGAGTTTACAATCCTCGCCCTCACTTTTAAAGCCCTCTATGGTCTTGCTCTTCCCTACCCCTGTGACTTCTTAACCCCATACCAACCTGTCCGGTCCCTCCACTCAGTGGGCTCTGGCTTGCCCTCTTTCTGCCTGCCCCACCATTGGCGATCGGGCCTTTAGCCCTTCTGCCCCCACCCTCTGGAACTCCATCCCAGAGCCCCTTCCTCTCGGTCCCTCCTTTACCTCCTTCCAGGCCTGCCTCAAGATCTTCTTTTAACATGCCTTTAGCCACACTGCACTGAGGTCTCAGCCGAGGCTAGCACGGAGCTGAGTGAAGGGAGAGGAGTGTAAGAAGATTGAGAGATAAGGAGGTGTAAAGGAGTGGATGGATTTGCAGACTGTGCTCTCAATGG